AATAAATATAAACACATTGGTTAATTAATCGAAATTGACAAAGTAGAGATTGAGATATAACTTTAAAAAATAAAATGCAAATATTGAAACTTACCTACAAACTAAATTAATAAAAAAACATTACACGTGTAATTTGTTAACATTGATTATAGCAGTATTGGAAATGCTGATTTTAATAAATTAATTGTTTAATTATTTAAATTATAAGAGCGAGATGATCATTTATGATGGGTACATTTTTTTAAACTATTTTACGTATAAAACGTCATATCGCGTTTAGGTAGAATTTTTATTCAGTTCTTCAAATTTTATTTAGTATTTTTTATTTGTTATTATGAAAGGCCATGCTATTATTTGCCTTTCGTAATTTATTGGTGTTGCGCTCAAAACAATTAAATTCTATTCTAATCATGTTTAAAATTGCATTGTAAATTTGTATTTTTATTGATAGTAATTTTTGTAGTTAGTTAATTGAGGCACAACAATTTTTATGCTTAGGACTGTACATGCGTTTTATTTTGTTTTGGTTGTGTAATCTGTAATACATGGTCGAATCGGGCTGTACAATAAGTCTCATTAGAGACTGGACACTTGAACAAAGATTTAAACGAATGTTTCCGGAAGTCCTACGTTTACAGTCTTCATTTACTAAAAATTGAAAATTTTAAATTGGTTATCATTTTCATTCAGGCAGTTTTAAGATTTACGTATTTAATAGTGGTATGTTGCGCGTTAATTTCTACTAATTAGAAACTGATTAAATATGAGATCGAACACGTAATAAGTACGTAGCGATGTTGATCATTTGCCAAAATGTTTCATAATTTGAATGATGTTTCAATAATTTGGAGTTCGAGGTAAAGATTCATTTATCATTATTTAGAGTTACAAAATCTTACAGGATGATTCTCTGGGATAATTATTTGCGTTTTAAGTGGAGATTAAAGTTAAATTTAACACGTGTTATTAAACAACGAATACATCTACAAACATATTAATCACATTTAAAAAGATTTGAGATTTTATGAAACACAATTTTTCTACCGAAGAAGACGATCATTTTATGTTTCACTGCAGCCAATTAATTTGTTAATTAAAATTGCTGTTATATTAACAATATTCTCATTGGGATCGTTATTATAGTATAATTAAGTAGGTAGTAAACGAACGAATTATTTGTTACATACATACATACATACATAGTTGGGTAGGTTACGTTTCTACACATTTGCAATAGCGGGGTGGATACAAAGGGTGAAAATGCCCAAGTTGCCGAAGGGTTAACACATGAGTTACAATAAAGAGGTGGTGGATACATTTGTGTCCTCAGTTCCGAATTTGATAACCGAAAGTACCCTTGACGTTGATTTTCTGTTAATTTTTCATATTTGCAGTAATTTTTTTCTATTTCATCCCTGTCCGTGTTTACCCTTTTGGAGTTTCTTTCATTTCTGTAATGTGAAGTTTCTTGCAGTATTTTATTGAAGTATGTAGCCCCTGTTATTAGTGGGGTGTCCTCCTTCTTAGCAACGTAACCCTTATTATCCGGACACGTTATCTTAATTTGTCCATATTTCGGTTGACACTGAAGTCTCGTGTCCAGCTCTTTAACTGATATTGAAATTATTAAAATTAAAAGTTTAGAACTAAAACCAACCATTTTTACGTTTATTTGTTTCAAATAAACCTGCAAACGGAAATTAATATAAACTCATGTTAGCAGAGATGTAACCGTTCAATTGCATCGCTACAATTTTCATCCTAACAAACATGGACGATTTTCAAAAACACTTTTTTGAGGCTAGTAGGATTAGGATAGCTACCTACTAAGCAGTTTTTTGGTAGCCATAAAATAATTTACAGTATGTGAAATATTATATGCTTAATTTTATTGGATGTATGTACATGACACAGTAATGTTTCTTCCTACATTTCATTTAGCTGTGACCCGCGAAGTAGGCTGATTACTTTGGCCAA